ATTCTTAAGTTGAATTAATAATACTTAAAAAGTATGGAATTATATAAAGGAATTGAAAATTTCAAAAAAATCATTCAACAATTTCTTACCTTAAAGACTAATTTAACTTCTTTCCTTATTCATATATATATAAAAAGGTTGAAAAAGAGAATTATGCTATGAATTACAATCATAAATTAATTTTTTGAGTATCTAAAGAAAGGAGGCAAAAAGTGAATAATTTAATTTCAATAAGTAATAAGATATTGATGTTTCAATAATTGCAAAATATGCTCATCAGGATTAATACGGTTCAAATTCTATCAACTTTGCATCTTCATAAAATAAGAACTATAAAGTTTAGAATCATAAATTTAACTAACTTTAACCTTTTATGAATTCTTTTTAGTATAGGGATTTAATACTTTAATAACTAGTTGATATCAAAAATATTAAAGATTTTCAACTCAATTTTTAGAAATTTGACTCAAGAGTTTAGATCCTAAGCAAGTGAATTATAAGAAAAAGAGTGTTTGTGTCATATCCTACAACTTGAAGAAAACTCAAAATAGTTAGAAGCAGAAATCTATGGATTTAGAATTTTTCTGGAATTTATAGACTCATACAAGGCAAGCAAAAAATTTATGGAGTTTTGTATATTAAAAGTAATTATAAAGAATGGTAAGAATGCCTTAAATTGAAAGAAATTGAATGGCTCTTTGCTGAAAAGAATTAAATAGAAAACAATTAATATAATAATTAGCGAATATTTAAGTGTTAATTTATTCTTATATTTAATAAAATATATAAATAAATATATGATGAAATACAACATATTTCAAATAATATAATTCAATACATTATATTCCATAATAATTTTATCTTCATTGTTTTAGGATTGCAGATAAATCTGCAGAATATTATTAATCGTACAATCTTAGAGTGAGGAAAAATTTAAATTAAAGAATGTTTATATAAAAACCAATAGTAACTTTCAGATTTTTCAAAACATTTTTATATAGTTTTATCAAACAGAAGAAGGATTGCATAATGTATCCTTAATAATGTTTAATCGAGTTTGCTTGCATCAAATTGATCCAATTGCAACACACTATTTCGAAACAGACAAAATTAATTATGTTAATTGTAGCATAATTACAGCTATTTAAACTCCAAATAAAACTAATCATTTTTCACAATGAACTTATCCAAGTACAACAGCTGTTCTGCTATCATAATTATCTTTATGTTAAATAGTTTCTACTTATAAGAAAAGGATAATTTCTTAAAAGAAATTAGATGAAATTATAAACAAAAAATTGAAAAAAAATAAAATAGTAAATTAATTCTGAAAAACAAGAATTTCACAAGTAATCATTCAAGTTTTGTTTCTTAATATTTATTACAAATTCCTAACTTATTTTAAAAAAAAAAAATAGCTCGCTATAAGCATTTTTCTAATTTTAAAATTGATCAAAAGATGATTTAAGTGTAATAAAATACAAAGTTTAATTAGATGAATACAATAAAAACAATTCACTAAAGCTAAGAATAAGATATCACACTAAAATAAATTATAAATTTGAATTAAATATTTGATGCGTATCATCATGACTAGAAGTTAAATAGCATTTTGGAATTTATGAATTAAAAGATTGATTTTTTAAATTAAAAATTACTAATTTCACATTGTAATAATTGATTCCTTAAGTAAGATTACATTGAAGAAATTTAAAGCATGCTCTTTAGAGGGCTAAGATAACATAATTTCGAGCTCAACTAAAATAAATCTTTTGTTATCATGATTATTACAAATAAAAAAGAATTCTTTTATTTACATGAATCTATAGAATAACTCTATTAATAAGGTAAGGGATATTGAGAGAGAATAGATTATTCATAAATATAAATATTCTAATATTGAAAAAAAATTGAAAATTATTCAATTTTAGAATTAGTGATAGTTTATTAAATGTAGAGCTAATTTTTTCAGAGATTTATTTTTAAAGTAAATCAATATTATCAAAAAATGTTAATCAAATTTTTATTCCTATTTAAATAGAGGGTGGTGGTTGATTTAATATTGTTTGGGGTTTAAGTTGATGTTTCAGTTTTTGGCCATTTCATTCTGAAAGAATGTTGAGCTCATTATTCTTGAAATAAATATATTACTTCGTTTAAAAAGTACGAAAACACAAACAAATTTTAGTAATTTTTAATCAAAAGCCAAAAAAATTTCTTCTATATTCTCTTAAATAAAAAAGTTAAAGATATTATTAAAACAACATAATTTTATTAAGAATTTAGAAGGTATAGAAGTAAGATAGAAGACTAAAATAGAAATTTTCGATACTTTTATATTTGAAAATTCTCAAAACTACTGATTAAAAAAATCACTACTTAAATATGTAAATACTAGCATTCTTGGCTCTAATTATTTATCAATAGTAAGATTTTATAATTGTGAAGCAGCAACAACATACAAAACTAATTCTAAGGTTATTTTAGAAGATAGATTATTATTATCCATATAATCCTACATTTTTGTTAGCTAAAGAATTATAAAAGTTGAAAAAAATCATCTTTAAAATAAAAATATTTTTTGAAGTAATCTCTTATTTTCATCCTAAAGCATAACATTATGTTCTTATATTTAAAAAATTTGAATATATATATAAAATAATTACATAAGAAATTTAAGTGATTTAATAGAATTAGAAATAATATTAATATAAAATGAATGTTATAAGAGTAAAATGCTAAAAGGAATAACACGAGTTTGTAGAATTAGCTTGCTTAAATAAATATTGTTAAGCTAATAGAATTTATTGTCATTAATGTCTTAAAAATGGAGATCATGTTGCTCATCCAAAAGATTAAAAGAATTTAATTGAATTAATAGACTATTTTCATAATATTGACAAGGAAAGTGAGAAACTAATATAAAATTTATGTTTAATGGTAGAATAGTTAAAGGATTTAATGTTTTAATTAAATTAAGAATTGAGAACAAAATATCAATTTTCTAAAGAAAGATTGTAATCATTAAATACAAAACAATTGAATTAGGCTTTAGATTAGATAATTCAATATGATGATATTTAAATTAATATAACAAATCAATTACAAATATGTTCAGATAATATGATCAAATAAATTCAAATACAAATCAATGAATTGAAATTAGATCAAGTAAAAATATATTAATTAAATCAATAAGATCAACAAAAAGTAAAAGAACTATATTAATAAGGTATTCATATCATTTATTTAGCATATAATTTATATTATGATGATAAATATGAAGAGGCAATCAAAATATTAGATGCTGCATTACAAATTGATCAAAATCATTTGGATTCACTATATTTAAAAGGTATTAAAACTATATGTAAATAAATTAGCTAAATGTTTAACATGGCTAAGTAATTACAAAGATGCAATTATATGGACTGATAAAGCTTTGTTGATTAATTCAAATCATTTGGATTCATTATCTACAAAAGGTATTAAAAACTATATGTAAATGAATTAGCTTAATGTTTAAGATGGCTGAGTAATTACAAAGATGCAATTATATGGGCTGATAAAGCTTTG